GCAAATATCTTCTCCCATTCTGTCAGTTGTCTTTTGGTTTTGTTAACTGTTTCCTTTGCTGTGCAAAAGCTTTTGATCTTGATAAAATCCCAATAGTTCATTTTTGCCCTTGCTTCCCTTGCCTTTGGCGATGTTCCTAGGAAGATGTTGCTGTGGCTGAGGTCAAAGAGGTTGCTGCCTGTGTTCTCCTCAAGGATTTTGATGGATTCCTTTCTCACAATGAGGTCCTTCATCCATTTTGAGTCTATTTTCGTGTGTGGTGTAAGGAGATGATCCAATTTCATTTTTCTGCATGTGGCTATCCAATTTTCCCAACACCATTTATTGAAGAGGCTGTCTTTTTTCCATTGGACATTCTTTCCTGCTTTGTCGAAGATGAGTTGACCATAGAGTTGAGGGTCTATTTCTGGACTCTCTATTCTGTTCCATTGATCTATGTGTCTGTTTTTGTGCCAGTACCATGCTGTCTTGATGATGACAGCTTTTTAATAAAGCTTGAAGTCCGGAATTGTGATGCCACCTACTTTGGCTTTCTTTTTCAATATTCCTTTGGCTATTCGTGGTCTTTTCTGGTTCCATATAAATTTTAGGATTATTTGTTCCATTTCTTTGAAAAAAATGGATGGGGTCTCTATGCCTGCCTCTCTGCCTACTTATGATCTCTGTCAAATAAATAAAATCTTTTAAAAAATCAAGTGATAAAAGAAAAGGAGAGAGAGAGAGAGCGAGAGAAAGACCAAGAGACAGACTCTTAATGACAGAGAAAAATGGATGATTATGAGTGGAGATGGGTGAGATAGGTGATGAGGATTAAGGAGGGCACTTGTCATGATGAGCACAGGGTATCTTACAGAAGTGTTGAATCGCTATATTGTACACCTGCAAGTAATATTACACTATATGTTAACTAGCTAGAATTTAAACAAAAACTTAAATTCATTTTTATGTTATTTAAGTTCATAATAGAACACAAATTCATTAAATTCAAGCAAAAATTCATAAGGAAAGAACAGAGATGAGAGGAAAAGAATGTAAGATAAAAAGGAAGTGACTGTGTCTGTTAGCCATTTGTATGTCTTCTTTGGAGAAGTGGCTACTAGACATATGAAAAAATGTTCATCATCATTAGCCACCATGGAGATTCAAATCAAAGCCACCTTGAGATACCACCTTACACCAGTTAGAATGGCCAAAATTAACAAGAAAGTAAGCAACGTGTGTTGGAGAGGATGTGGAGAAAGGGGAGCCCTCTTACACTGTTTGTGGGAATGCAAGTTGGTGCAGCCACTTTGGAAAACAGTGTGGAGATTCCTTAAGAAATTAAAAATAGAGCTTCCCTATGACCCTGCAATTGCACTACTGGGTATTTACCCCAAAGATACAGATATAATGAAAAGAAGGGCCATCTGTACCCCAATGTTCATAGCAGCAATGGACATGGTCGCCAAACTGTGAAAAGAGCCAAGATGCCCTTCAACGGATGAATGGATAAAGAAGATGTGGTCCATATATACTATGGAGTATTATGCCTCCATCAGAAAAGTTGAATACTCAACTTTTGTATCAACATGGACAGGACTGGAAGAGATTATGCGAGTGAAATAAGTCAAGCAGAGAGAGTCAATTATTATATGATTTTGCTTACTTGTGGAGCATAAGGAATAACATTGAGGACATTGGGAGAAGGAGAACAGAAGGGAGTTGGGGGAAATCGGAGGGGGAGACAAACCACGAGAGACTGTTGACTCTGAGAAACAAACTGAGGGTTGGGGGGGTGGTGGAGGGTTGGGTGAGCTGGTGGTGGGTATTAAAGAGGGCATGTATTGTGTGGAGCACCGGGTGTGGTACTAAACAATGAATCTTGGAACACTGAAAAAATAAAGTTTAAATAAAAAGAAGTGAGTGAATAAAAAAAATGTAAATTATTTAGTAATAAAATGATCTATTAATGTAGTTATTATAAATGGGGCAGAAATTGAGCTTTAAAAAGTCAAAAAGACAATAACCATTAAAAATAATGAGGAAGAAAAACATGGATGTCAAGATGGTAATATTTCCAGAATAAGAGTTTTTTTCAATGATAGATGATAGAACAACTGGAACAGACAAATGGTATACTGTGTAGAGGTTACTTAAAAAATAAAATCATAATTTTGAGATTGAATATAAGGTTTTAAGACAGTTTTTGATTTTTTTTTTTGTGTAGTAATAATCTTTCTGTATTTTAGAACATTTTTAACAACCAAAAAAGGAAAACACTTCTATAATCACAGTACGGCTATACTCAGTGTGAATTTTTGATCTATATCTTCCTAGACTTTTATCATGAATGTTTATGTATATTTAGAATGATAGTATATCTACCCTAAAATGCATATTTAATATGATTTGAATATATTTCTCAATCCTTCTTAGCACAATATTTCGAGATTCTCAAAGCCCAAGCTGGGTTGAAAGAGGGGATGTTTAGCTCCAAAATGTAGTAGAGTCAAAGTATTTGAGGAGCTAAACAAAAATCATTGAATGGGCTGACTTACCTTCCTCTGATCTTGGGCATGCTTGAAAATGAAATCTGTTGTTTCACTAATATCAAATCTTAGTTCAATAGTAGGTAGTAACTTAAAACTTTTCTCTGTCAGCAAAGAATGATTTGGGCCATTTCCTGAGTATATGCATCATCTAAAATTCTGTTTTTTTTTTTTTTTAAAGTGTAGCGGGGCACACAGTATTTTATCTAAATTAATGAAATAATGTGTGTACTAGAGAAGTGACCTTCACTTGTTTTTTTCCAGAAAGTATTACTCAGAGCAATTCTATTAAATATTTTCTACCCATCTATGTAGCGTTATATTTTTGGTAGAAATATTCCTAGAAAACTGCATTTCAGTCTATTTGACCCAAAGATAGTGACACTCAATAATTTCAAATAAACCTAACAATTGTAATTTTTTATCTGCATGTTGCAATGTTTAGACTTTTACTTTTAAACACAAATCTGGGTGAACTCAAGATCAGTTGGTTAAGCAACTGTCTTCCACTCAAGTCATGATCTCGAGGTCCTGGGATCCAGCCCTGCATCGGGCTCCTTGCTCAGTGAGGAGTCTGCTTCTCCTTCTCCCTCTGTGTGCTTGCTTGCTTGCCCTCTGACTCTCAAATACATAAATAAATCTTTTTTTTTTTAATTTTTAAAAAAGACAAAAAAACACAAGCCAATACCTTCTGTGAAGCTGTCTCATGATCCCTAAAAATGCAAGGATGTAAATCTCAGGTTAGGAAAACATGAAAGCTAGTTCTTACATTTTTTAGTGCTGTTATTTCATGTGTGTGGAGTGTGTGTGTGTGAGATGCAAATTAAAATTATACAAAAATACCTGCTGTTACATAATATGTATGTAAAAGTATATGTACATGACATGCATGACACCTAAATATCATGGTTAACTTTACTGGGGGATAAAAAATGAGAAGACTCCTATATATAAAATACTTGTTGATGGACAGGCCACATATCTGAAATTTGAGCAGTAAAATATTTTTCACTTGGGTTAAAGTGCATTTTCCAAAACTTTGACCAAAACCAATTTACTCTGTTACTCAGGCTCCCCCGCCATAATAATATATTAATAAATAATGAAAATTACCATGGATTAATTTATATTAGTTTTATTTAGCAAGCGCTTGATGGGTGAATGGTATACTGTGTAAGAAACAGTATCTGAGGGCACCTGGGTGGCTCAGTAGGTTAAGCCTCTGCCTTCGGCTCAGGTCATGATGTCAGGTTCCTGGGATCAAGCCCCACATCAGGCTCTCTGCTTGGCAGGGAGCCTGCTCCCCCACCCCGCCTGCTTCTCTGCCTACTTGTGATCTCTCTCTGTCAAATAAAATCTTTGGGAAAAAAAAAAAAAAAGAAACAGTATCTGATTAATGTGCCAAGGTCATAGTCACAGAACAAATATTATACTGATAAGAAAAAAAGGATTGCAAAAAAGGATTGCAAAGAAGGTCTATCAGGAACTGAGGTTTATGCCCAAGCTTTGTTTTGAGAAACAGCACAAATACACTAGGGTATACCTTCTGTCCATACAACACACACATGTGCATGCATATGTTCAAACATGTGCTTATGTGTGTGTACACATACTTTTGATATTTCTTAAAATCATCTAAAATTCTATACAAATGTATAAAATGTAGGTCAGTTAAATTCAACAGGGGATATACTTTTGTATTTATCAATATATACATCTAGTCTATTAACATCTGAACTCTAAGAATTTTATGGTCACTAAATGTTAACATAAAAATAAAACCACTTTAAGAAGATGAGACTTATATACAGATGACTCTAACTTTAGTTTATCCATGAACCCTTAGGCTTCAGAGTTTTAATACTGATTTTTCAATAAGCAAATTTTTTATGGAAAAAGAATTCAATTTATTTCCTATTTTTAAAAAGTGTAAACATTTTAAAAAGGGCCTTGGGCATAAAATCTAAATGTCTTCAGTGTGATCTGTCAGGAGCTTAAAATGTCACTCTTTGCAACCTTCATCATTAATTAGTGTTTGGTGCAAAGAAAGCAGGTACCAGGAGACCCTCCTGTACCAGGCAAAATGACAGCTTCCCCAGGATGAAGCCTCAGCCTTGCATGAGGAAAGGGGTGGAGAGCAGAAAGGAATGGGGGAGGAACTCGGGGGGAGGCTGGGACCCTTATGTACTGAGATCTATGCTGGGAAACACTTTAATGTGCTAAAACACTTTAATCTGTCTTCTTAACTGCTCAACACAAGTGGCCTGAGGCCTGTTCTAGGTAAGTTAAACTGTTTGCTGTGCATAGGGCCAATCCTATCCCACAGAGGCACAAATGTAGCCTCTATGAGGAAGGAAAAGCATCCACCAATGTAGCAAGAATTGGTTACCTTTGGCGTTGGTGAACTTGTGCAGGCATAAAGAGTCCTGGTAGAAGTGAGGATCACCCACCAATGTAGCAAGAATTGGTTACCTTTGGCGTTGGTGAACTTGTGCAGGCATAAAGAGTCCTGGTAGAAGTGAGGATCACCCAGTCTCACAGCTGTCCATTTGCAGAAGTAACCTCTAACACTGCCATGCTAGTCTCCAGAATACAGAAAGTCTCTTTCTCCTGACAAAGCAGTTGGGAATTTTTCCAGTGTAAAGTCATGACCCAGACATGAAGGAAGATGCTGGGGGCGAAGAACATAGCTTTGAGGAGGGTGGTCCCTTTGAACTTACGGAATACAGAGTTGCCCAGTGCCGCCTCCTGATGGCGCATGGGAGAAGAATGAGGCACAACGACTTTGGTTGCAAGAGCAAGGGAGCTGGGGGGATGACAGTAGAAAGGACTGTCGCCCCCCCCTGCTCCATTGTCTTACAGCTGACTTGTTTGTGCCTCATTCTTCTCCTGTGTCCGTCAGAAGACGACAGCCCAGGCCAGCCTGGAAGACATAGGTGTTGGAGAACAGGAGGAAAATGATGCTGATGTTGAAGAGAATTGCGGTATCCTGGATAATGAGAAACACCAGGATGATAGGAGCCATTTGGAGTAGTTCTGCAAAGGAATTAACAGATCCTAGGACAGTAGCAGGAACTGCAGGGAGAACACCAGGCAATAGTCACTGGTCTGGAGCATCTCATTTTGTTCAATTTGGCCCCCAGGTGCACGTTCCACATTTTTGCAGAAAACAGCACCTAGATTTCTCCCTAGCAGTGAGGGAGAAGCACTAGTGCATCAGAATCAGAGCTGTTTCCCTAGCTCTAAGACAGGGGATTCAAAGACCCCCTACATTGGTTGTCACAGGGATGCTATCCTGGTTTCCAGAGACTGGTTTTAAATCCGGGAAGTAGATGGCAGTTGCAGGCTCCGCCTGAGGTGTGCTAGCTGGTGGTCCTCCTTTCTCCTGCAGTACTCTGTGGCCAGTCCAGCTGCCTTGTTTGGACCCCTGCTTACCTGGGCCCTCTCCCCTCCTTTCTTTACAGCATTGCTGTTCCCAACAGCTGCCCAAGGCCTCCTGTCCATACCGCAGGGCCTTGCTAAGGGCCAGCCCCAGGGGAGACACTTCACCTCTGCTGCAATCCTTATGTTTCCATATGATGGGCAGGTGAGGGACAGGCGGAGCTGAGGTGCTCCTTGTGGAAGAAATGCCTGCGGAGGGAATGGAGTTGGGAGTCAGCAACTTGGTGTGCTAGGAGCGGGCTGCCCTAAAACCCTGCACTTAATTTCCCAGGCCCAGCAACTGTGTGTTAGTCTCCTGTCTTCTACATTGCTAAACTCTTCCAGTTTTCTTACTCTGTGTGTGTGTGTGTGTGTGTGTGTGTGTGTGTGTGTGTGTCTGAGTTTTTAAGCACACGCACGTTTATATGTGCGTGTGTGGTAACTTACTGTTTTTCTCCCACCACTCTTAAAATGCAAGCTCCACATCTATTGGAAATTTCTTCATTTATTTTCTTTTGCTGTATCCACAGACCCTAAAAACATGCCTGGTATATAGGAAGCACATAGAAAACATATGTTGAGTGAATGAAAGATTAATTCAAATGACTTACCTATATTAGCAATCCATATCTCAAACGTATCCTGACCTACTTATGAGATATGAAATGTATGACTTAATAGAATTAAACATGTGACTAATCCAAAGACCTGTATTTGCTGGAAAGCCAGTATAATATGTGTATATTATATTGGGAAAGGATAAAATTTGACTAAACTATATTAAAAGGTACATATTTTATATCAATCTAAAATCCTAGCTGTAATACTAAAATTACAAGTGTTTTATTAACATTAGAACAGTTACATTATTGAATATGTATGTTGAGATTTTATGAAGAAAAACCTATACAAATTGGTAATCCAGTCATTTTGAGAAGTTTATTATAAATAAAATCATTCTTCTACACCTAGCTGTCCAATTTTCCCAGCACCATTTATTGAAGAGACTGTCTTTTTTTCCACTGTATATTTTTTCCTCCTTTGTCAAAGATTAGTTGACCATAAAGTTGAGGGTCCATATCTGGGCTCTCTACTCTGTTCCACTGGCCTCTGTGTCTGTTTGTGCCAGTACCATGCTGTCTTGGTGATCACAGCTTTGTAGTAAAACTTGAAATCAGGCACTGTGATGCCCTCCAGTTTTGTTTTTCTTTTTCAACATTTCTTTAACCATTCAGGGTCTCTTCTGATTCCATACAAATTTAGGGATTGTTTATTCCAGCTCTTTGAAAAATGCTGGTGGAATTTTGATCAGAATGGCATTGAAAGTATAGATTGCTCTAGGCAGTATAGACATTTTAACAATGTTTATTCTTCCAATCCATGAGCATGGAATGGTCTTCAATCTTTTTGTGTCTTCTTCAATTTCTTTCATGAGTGTTCTGTAGTTCCTCGAGTACAGATCCTTTACCTCTTTGGTTAGGTTTATTCCCAGTTATCTTATGGTTCTTGGTGCTGTAGTAAATGAAATTGATTCTCTATTTTCCCTTTCTGTATTTCCATTGTTAGTGTATAAGAACTAGTGTATAAGAACTAACATTGATTTTGAATCCTGCCATGTCACTGTATTGCTATGAGTTCTAGTAGTTTGGGGGTGGAGTCTTTTGGGTTTTCCATATAAAGTATCATGTCATTGTGGTGAGAGAGAGTTTGACTTCTTCACTGCCAATTTGGATACATTTTATTTCTCTTTGTTGTCTGATTGCTATTGCTATGACTTCTAGCACTATGTTGAACAAGAGTGGTGAGAGTGGGCATCCTTGTTGTATTCCTTATCTCAAAGGAAAAGCTGTCAGGTTTTCCCCATTGAGGATGATATTTGCTGTGGGTTTTTCATAGATTTTATGAAGTTGAGGAATGTTCCCTTTATCCCTATACTTTGAAGCATTTTAATCAGGAACAGATGCTGTATCTTTTCAAATGCTTTTTCTGCATCAATTGAGAGGACCGTGTGGTTCTTCTCTCTTCTCTTACAGATTTATTCTATCACCTTGATTGATTTGTGAATGTTGAACCATCCTTGCAACCTAGGGATGAATCCCACCTGGTCATGGTGGATAATCTTTTTAATGTACTCTTGGATCCTGTTAGCTAGGATCTTGTTGAGAATCTTGGCATCCATATTCATCAGGGATATTGATCTGAAATTCTCCTTTTTGGTGGGATCTTTGCCTGGTTTTGGGATCAGGGTAATGCTGACTTCATAAAAAGGGTCTGGAAGTTTTCCTTCTGCTTCAGTTTTTTGAAACAGCTTCAGGAGAATAGGTATTATTTCTTCTTTAAAAGTTTGATAGAATTCCCTAGGGAATCCGTCTGGCCCTGGGCTCTTGTGTTTTGGGAGATTTTTGATCACAGCTTCAATCTTGTTAGTAGATATTGGTCTATTCAGGTTGTCAATTTCTTCCTGATTCAGTTTTGGATGTTTATAGGTTTCCAGGAATGCATCTGTTTTGTCTATGTTGCTTAACTTATTGGCATATAACTGTGGTAATAATTTCTGATGGTTGTTTCTATTTCCTTGGTGTTAGTCATAAATAAAATAAAATAAATAAAATCAGACTCGCAACTTTAGGCTTAACATTTTGAAGTAAGGGTCTTTTATCATTAGGGTGTATAGAAACTTTTCATAGAAGGCACTGAGAAATAGTTCACTTACAAAATCCATATTCAAAAATAAAGATCCTTTGGACAGATGGATAATGATGTGAAAGCAGTTTAAGACCTATTTAAGGTTTTTGAAGTTTGTCCATTACTGCTGATAATAAAGTTGTAGGAAATTTCAGCCTTTGCCCAAAAGACTAAGGTCAGCATCTCACTGAAATATTTTTTTAAAAAGTAAATTTAGGTAGTGCTCTGTAATCCTTATTCCTGTGTTCAAGGATCATATGAAAGGGTGCTGATAAAGAAGAAACCTTGAACCACAAGGCTGACTAAACAAAATCACTAAGTTCTATAGCAGTCTCAAGAGAACAATCCAATGAGGTGATAGTGTTGCTGACTCTAGAAATCCTTGACATTCACAGCTGTCTCCAATTTTCTAAATATGGTTTTAGGTTTGTGGTTGGCTAACATTATTAACAGTGGAATTCTAGGTGATATGTATAGTATATTCAGAAGCACATGGGAAAAGGTTTATAAAATTCTTCCATAAAATTGTGGTATCACATTCATAAGTTACATTCATACTCAGCCTTTTTACTAGGTAATCGAAGGCATTCATCACCATCCAAGACAGCTGTAACTGTTTGCAAGATGGTAGATGTACTTGAACGTAGCTCCCTTTTTCTTCAAAGTTTAAACTCTACACAGGAAATGTTAAAAATGAGTACATTTTCGAGCAATGACCCATGCTAGCATCAAACCTATCACCTTTATCTCATTAGGGTTATTTTCTACCTAACTGTTGAGTCATGCTAATACACATCCTATAAAGTTTGAAAAGAGGAAAAAAACTAAGTTATTGAATGTATCCTCTGCAGTGCATTTATAAATGTAGCATTTGTAAAGTCTTATCAAACCCTCTACTCACATTTAATGTGCCTAATCTATACATGTAAAATTTGAAGATCAAAAATGTTAAGCTACCCGGCGATTCACAGACCTGTACCCCTAGGGATAAAAATATATGTTTATAAAAAATAAAAAAAAATGTTAAGCTACCTGATGAAAGTTGCACACCTAGTAAAGGCCAAAACCAAAACTCAAATCTACATTGTTCCACTCTCACATTGTTAACCAAAATGTTACATTGAGAGTTCTATCTTGGTGGTGTAAAATTGTTTCTTTTCGGGATGCCTGGGTGGCTCAGTTGTTTAAGCGGCTGCCTTCGGCTCAGGTCATGATCCCAGCATTCTGGGATCCAGTCCCACATCAGGCTCCTTGCTCGGCAGGGAGCCTGCTTCTCCCTCTGCCTCTGCTGCCATTCTGCCTGCCTGTGCTCTCTCTCTCTCTCTCTCTCTTTCTCTGGCAAATAAATAAAATCTTAAAAAAAATAAAATCATTTCTTTTCATCAGAATGTATAAGCTAGTAGCCTTAAAAGGAAGAGTGTTTTCCTTTTTATTGATAGTTATGTAAGTTCCAAGAATAATTGGACATGGAATATTTAAGGAGACTTTCATAATCAATAGGTGGCTTATATCAATAAAAATATCACTGGCTTCAAACAAAAAGTAAAAATTTATAGAAAATGGGGGAGATGATGACCATGCAGTTTAAGAAGATGGAAAGCATGTCGTTAGTGGAACAAGAAAACTGAATCCAGGGTCAGAAGTAAAAAAAATCCAAATTATTCATTTGTTTGAATATACACAAGATAATATACACAATTCCTTAGGAATTGTTGTTGGTATTCCAGCTGTAAGTTCCACTCATATATACACAATAATATACACAAGAACCTTAGAAATTCATGACATCCACCACCTATAAATGAAGCTGAAAATAGCTGACACAGGATTTTTTTTAAAATTCTATTTAAGATTTCAATTGTGCATAAGGAGGAGTGGAATGCAACTAAATCCATTGATGAAATAAAAATAACTTCATATGTGATTAGTAAATAGAGGAATGAGTATCACTTTCAGATGGACTGTATGTTGATAAAAGAATTTTCTCGGCATTTTAATACTTCGTGCTAACA